GGTTTCAGAAACTACACCACGAGGGTTCCTTTGACTTTGGGAACAGGCATAGTTTATATCAAATAGGAAGGGTCCAGGAGCCCCGGGAGCATAACGAATTACGCATGGACTCCCCTTTTTGTCAATCTGTGCAGAGCCAATCATCAGAGAAGCTGGATTTCATGAAGAAGACTGTGGTATCAGGATTGGAGGCAGGCTTATAAAACAAGCTGCCTATGGAGATGACAGCGCCCTGCTCGCTGAAAGAGCGGACTGGACGCACTTGCCCATGAAGACGAAGGATCGCAGCCTTCAGGGTGGATTGCAACTCAATGTAAAGAAATCCCAAATCCTCACAATTGGACCAGTGGTCACATCATGATAAATGGAAGAAGGCTTGGAGCTGTCCAACGTTTGTCCTGCTTGGACCCACAATCCATGCTCCTGGCAGCAGCGGGCTAGAGGCTAAACCACGCACTGCCCTGGGTACATGTGCTGCACCAGACCGCTTGAAAGGGTTGAAAAGCAAAGATAAGCCTTCGAGGACTAACGCGTGCCTGCCCCAAGCCATAGTATTCTCACTCGCCTCCTGTGCGCGTGGCAGTTGGACCCTGGATACGGAAGACTGGAGAATTCTGAATGCGTTTGCGCGGTGGGGCTGGAGCAGGCTATGGAAAGCACTAGGGACTGCCGTGAGAACAAACACACACATCTATCTTGGCAGCAGTCCAGCCCGAAGGCTCCTTAGAGGTAAAGATGCTGAGACGTCCTCTCACATATTGTGGACATATTGTCAGGAGAGACCAGCCCCTGGAGAAGGACGTCATGCTTAGCAAAGTATCAGGGCGGTGAAAAAGCAGAGAACCTTCCGCAAGATGGACTGGCACGGTGGCTGTAACAATGGGTCCAAACATCAGAACCAGGGTGAGAATGGCACAGGACCGGGCAGTGTGTCCTTCCTTTGCCTACAGGGTCCCGATGAGTCAACACTAACTCGATGGCACCTACCACCACCACCACGTCAGCAGTTCGAACCCACGAGCCTCAGTGTGAAAGACAGATAAGGCTGTCTACTCCTGTGAAGAGTTACAGTCTCAGAATCCCACAAGGGCAGTTCTAAGCCTGTCCTGTAGGCTCACTATCGTCAGCATTGACTCTGGCAGGAAGTGTATAGGGTTCAGGCAGTGTAGGCTCTGCATGCGAGTCCTCCTGACCTTGCCATTTCTTCACGAGGCAAGCTTTGTTATTTCTTTCTTTGCCCCAGTCTCCTAACTTATGAAATGGGGATCATAAGGAGATACCTACCTCGTGGAGTTATCAGTGAAGGTGGAAAGAGTTCATATTATTGAAGTACCCTGAATAATCCTGGCACCTAATAACACGTGGCCAATAACCTTATGAGGTGGTGGTTAGCACTGAAGGAGTTCACAGGTGCACAGCGACTATGGCAGGTGCTCAGGAAATGCCAGTGGCCTTGGATGACGTTTCCCAACGAGATGGCCAATTCTGGAATCATCTCTTCTGTGGTTCCCCAGCACTAAGCTGCTGACTGAACAACATCTGAGTGAGTGGAGAGTGGGAGGGAGCGGGCCAGATGGTGAAGAAAGGGGTGGAGAGCAGGCAAGTGGGGGAAGTGGGTTCTATCCAGGACGCTGAGGTGGGCTTGGGCTGTGTCCACTGGAGTCCAGAGGAGCTGGGGGTGCCCCCACTCCCACACTTCCTGCCCCTCCCACACAAGCCCACGACATTACAGGGTTGGAAGAGCTCAGTGAGTTTATTTGGGGAGCAGGGAGGGGGGCAGACATTTCACTTGAGTTCACACGCACGCACACACACATTCACAATTTGAGCAGCATTGCTCCACAGGTCGGCCCAGCCTGCTTGGGGTTCCCAGACTTCCGAGTCAGAGATGGATCCCCGGGGCCCGAGGAGGCCTAAGCTGTGCAGAAGAAATAGTGAGAGGCTATTATAGGGTTCAGCAGCCCTCCCCTCCCCAAGCATGCCCTGTGAGCCCTTTCCCCTCCGCTTCCCTGGAAGACAGTGCCCCACCTCTCCGTAGATAGGAGCGGCTCACCTGGAGAGGGTCACCTGAGGCTCCAGGCCCCCATGTGGCCACCTCCTTTCCATGCGGCTTCCGGCCCTTCCGGGCTATCCATGTTCTCATAGGAGTCTGCATCTGGGTAAGACCCGGAAGGTGTGAAACAGAGGTGGGGCCAGAAGGCGCCCTGGAGGGGAAGTCCACTCCAGAGAAACAACAGGGGGTGGCCAGGGAAGCACCCACCTTCCTCTTGATTGGGCCCAGACTGGGCGGGCAGGAAGCGGACCTGGGGGGCGGCATACAGGATCCCTCGCATATCTTCATAGGACTGGGACCCTGCTTGGGCAGGAATGGAGGCTTGGAGGGCATAGGAGCCATGAGGCAGGGGCACGGGGAGGGGGAGGAGGGAGACGGGAGGGGAGGAAGGTGGGATTCTGGAGCCCAGCTGTACTAGGAAGGAGTGCCAAGGCCAAGGTCAAGCGTCAGAATCAGAGTCAGGAGGAGATTGTAGAGAGAATTCAAAGTGAACGCTCAGGCCAGTTTTGGGCGAGGGTGAGAAGGAGGTCAAGGTCAGGTTTGGAATCGAATTGGGACCTACGTCCGTCTTCATGGTCAGAGATGGGGTAAATTAATATTGGGGGTCAGGATTGAGGCTGGGGCTGGGGTCAGAGCTGAGGCTAGACAAAGTACGTAGGGCCCTAGTATTTCTCACCAAGAGAAGTTGCTTCCCGGCTGGGGTCCCAGACAATCCCATGGGGGCTCAGCAAGTCTAGGAGAGGAAGAGGGTCTGGCCATTCCTGCTGGCCTCCAGCCCCTCGGCCCTCCAGAATGGGACTAGCCATGACAAGCAAATAACAACGAGTACATGAATGGAAGCAAAGGAAACCGGTCTAAAACAGAGTGTGGTGTGATGGCGGGATGACTCTTCTTGATCCGATCGGACTACTGAATTGTATGGTTTGTAGATGCCATGCCAAACCCTGTTGGGGCACAGGCAACGAGAAAGAAGGTGACTATCTTCTCACACACCTGCAGTCCTGGGGGCCGGCCTGGCTAGTTCTTCATCCTCATTCTCATAAGACTCAGCTGCTGGGGAAAAGAGAGAGAGAGAGAGAGAGAATTCCGGGGCGCTCCTGCCCCCAGGGTCGGTCTCTCAAGTCCACGTGAGGTTTCCTAATTACCGCTGGAGAAGGAGTCCTCCTCCTCCTCCTCAGGACTGGAGGGCCCAGCCTCAGGATTCTCATAGCCACTCCCATCTGAGGAAGAAGGAAGGGTGCTCAGCCAGGGTCCCCAGCCCAGCGCAGGGGAGGTGGGTGGTGGCGTGAGGGCGGGCAGCCTTACCCCGGGAGAGCTGGTCCTGCGCAAGGTGATTGTCGTCGTTCTCATAGAACTCAGAGGCCTGGTCACTGTCTGGCTCTTCATAAGCTTCCTCTTCCTTTTCTTTCGGGTCTGGAGGGGGGAGACCCAGTTAGGGGCCCACTCCTCCAGGCCCCTGTCACAGATTGCTCCGACTCCCCCCAGCCCCTGACACCTGCTTCTCTCTCACTCACCAGCTCCCTCTGGGCTCTGGGCTTCAGCCTCCAGGTAGTCGTTGTATGGGTTTCCAGAGGACAGGGCAGTGATGCCCAGGCCAGCCGCCCACTGCAGGGCCCGGCCTGGTGAGAGAAACCTTGTAAGGGGGAGGGTCGGAAGGGATGTGGGACTGTGAGGGTCCAGGGCCTACCCCCTGAGGAGGGGCGAGGATGCTTCTGGCTCTTGAGGGGACTCTGGGGTGAGGCACAAGCCTTTGAGCCATGGGAGCAGGATCTAGAACCGGGGTGGGGAATGCCCAGGCCTTCAAAGGCCCTCAACATTGTTAGCATTACACTCAACAAAGAGAAACCTTGTAGGCGGTGCCGACACAGTCCAACCCAAATCCACCCCCATCAAGTTGATTGCGACTCACAGAGACGCTACAGGGCAGGGTAGCACTGCCCCTGTGGGTTTGTGAGACTGGAACTCTTCGTGGGACTGGAAAGCCTCATCTCTGCCCAGAGGAGTCTCTGGGGGTTTTGAACTGCTGACCTTGTGCTTGGCAGCCCAAACGGGGCTCCATCGCACACCACTCTCTGCAACCCGTGCTGACTCAGCGACCCGCTGTGGGTGTCCGAGACCATCCCTGTGTCCCGGAGAAGCAAGCCCCAGTCTTTCTCCTGAGCTGCTGCTGCTGGTTTCGAACCGCCAATTGTGCTATCACAGCCCGACTGGTAGCCACTTGACCACCAGCGTTCCTCGCCATCACCGTAGGCGTGAATCAAACGTTTGGCGGAAGAGAGCAGGCTCATTGCTAAGTTGATCATTTCCTATGGCCCTGGCCTGATGGTATAAATCTCCAAAAAACGCAGGCCCTTGTCGGGAACACAAGGCCGGCCCCCGCCCCTGTTCTAAGGGTAAGGTAAAGGTTCTGCATGCCCGACCCGGAGAGGCCAAGAGGCCTGCGGACAGGATTCAGAGTCCCAGTTCTAAGGGCGGGGCTCAAATCTGGGGGAACCCCAATGTTCTGAAAGCTGAGCTCCGAACTCAGAGAAGGCTTGGAGCATGGGACCACTGGAGACCCCGGGGTGTCCTGTGGGTCTTCGGTTCTGGGCTGTAGCTCTAGGGTCTGCTGGGTCCTCCTACCCGTGCCCGAGGTGCTGCTGGTCGTGGGCAGGGACAGCACATTCCCGTAGTGGCTCTGGGGCCCGTTGCCTGGGGGCGGGGTCGCTTTGAAGAACCTGCCCGGGAAGGAGATGTTGCACAATGAGGCCTGGCCTGGAAGGGACTGGGGGTCCAGTCGAGACGCAGGCGAGGCACGTTGCTTGACATTAGCTCTTCTGCGCTGGGCCCACCACGGGGCAGGCTGCCGGTACTGCAGGAGGACTTCACCGAGGATGAGCTTTGAGCAGGCCTTTGACAGCCGCACACAAGGTTGCACTTGGCAGTGATGGAGGCAAGACACCACCCCCCCCACCGCCCCTCAAAGCATCAAGGGAAAGGCAGATAGGAGGGGCCGCCGCCTGCATTACCTCCTGGCGGGGTCGGTCATTCGCTTTCTTTTCCTCCTCTGGGTCAGGCCTGGTGGGCATTGAAGGGGGACCACTTGGTCCAGTGGAGAAGGTGGGGAGAGGGCAGTTCTGGGGAGATCACTTGTTGGGAGTTCAAATTCCAAGGGGGCTGGGGAGCGTGGGGGAAGGTGGAAGCACACTGGGGTCCATGGAAGGGATGGGAGGGGACATCAGACTGGCCAGTGTGGACTCATCCTGAGGACGGTGGGGGTGGGGTTTGGGGGGCCCGTTGGGGGACAGGACTCACTTCTTTGGAGATGAAGAAAGGCCACCAGGGAGCCCAGACAGAAGATCAGATAACCCATAGTCACAACCAGTACCTTCCAGCCTCCAGACTGCAGCAGCCAGTGCCATAGGGCTAGAGGAAGGGGAAGGCCAAGCTAGGACCTTGGCAAGTAGCTTACTTCTCGGTGTCAAGATCCTGGGTCCTAAATTCTGAGGAAGCTTCTCCTCCCTCCCTGTATGAGGAGTCGTGTCCCAAAAAAACCAGGGACCGGCTAGACCCAGTTTTCTATGAACAAGCTTTGACTTACAGTCAGAGGCAATTTGAGGCTCATGGGGAGCAAGAGGAAAGGGCTGCAGTGGAAGGACAGACATGGCCTAAGTCGAGAGCAGAAGTGGGTCCTCCGGTTGGACTTAAACTTGGCACACTGCTGAGGTCCAGTTTGGCGTGAAGGGTGAAGCTGAGTTTAAGAACTGTGGCTTGCCTCACATGGTCATCGTTATATTGAAGAAACAGAATGATACATCTGTTCTAGTTTTTCATCTTGCCTGCTTTCTTTCTGACGGAGGCTTTATTAGTTTTTGGTTTGGGGGGGTTAAAAATTGTTTTTCTGTGTGTGAAATCCAGGATATGTAAATCTATCAAGACAGTAACTGGAGTAATGGTGGGCGGGGGGGCATGGCAGGGGAGGTTGGGGGGTGGAATGGGGAGCTAATCATGATGAGAACAAGAAGGAAGAACATGTTCGACAACTGATTGTGGTGGTGATTCTACAATGCTCCTTTTTTTCCTTTTGAAGTCGAGAAAGGCTTTATTGAGGCAAGGAAAGAGCTCCCGGGAGGGAAGGGAGAGCAGAGAAGCACGGGGCATCTTGAGCCCCCGGGCGGGTTCCGAGTCCTAACGAGTTAGGTCAGGGAAATCGCCTGTACAGCCCCCCTTGATGAATCGCATGACATGTCCGTTACAGGCCCCTAAGAGTGGTGGGGGGTGGGGGGTGGGAAGGAGTAGAACGAGCAAAGCACTACGACCAGTTTGATGGGTGAGTCGAGTCAAAGGAAAGTTACCCGGTCCGTCCTTGGTCAAATGGGGCCCTTGGGTGGTGGTACCCTTTCCTTACAGGGGACCCTGGAGAAGCCTCTACTTGGGAGGAAGATTTGAGTTTGACTTTGTGCTGAGTTTGAGGGGGTCCCTAGAATATCCGATGGGAATGCCGGAAAATAACTGCGTGTGCGTGGATGGGCTCTGGAACAGGGTCACCAAAGAGCGGCAGATCCACAGAGCCGGGAGGGAGAAGGACCTCCCACGGGAACAGCTGGTAGCCAGGCTGAGACAGGGCAGACGGGGATGAGAGTTCAGAGAGGCATGGGGAACGGGGAAGGAACGACAACCCATACAAAGCTGACGGAAAGGAAGGCTGGTGGTAGACAATCCCGAAAAGGGAGTGTGTCCCGAAAAGAAAGGGCTGGAGTCAGTGTTAAGTGCAGAGGTTGGGGTTCAGGCTAAGCAGGCTCCTCGCCCTCCGTTTGAAGGGTTCAAGGGGCTAACTAGCCTCCAGTTCTTCCCAGTAACCCCACCTGGATGTACCACAATTGGACAAAACGCTACCTGGCCTGGCAGTGACTTTCAGCTCTATCTCCATGGTCCAGTTGCCGTGGTGACAGCGATAGGTATCAGCATCTTGAACTGTGACCTGGGGCAGCAACAGAAAAGGCCCTCCCCAGAGGGTCCCCCATACCCACATCTCTCTGACTGGGGCATCCACCTTCAGATCGAGGCTCAGCAATGAGATGTTAGGCTTCTTGGGGTGCACATGCGTCCAGGAGATGGGGCCTCTGGCCACAGAGGCAGGAGGGACCCCACAGGGGAGCCAGAGTACGGAGCCAGGGGCCACGGTGAGGTCTGAGGCAGGGAGAGCCAGAGCTAGGAAGGCCTGGATCTCGCAGCCCCATCTTCTGTGAGCCCTGCAATTCCAAATCCCTGCCCTCCCGTCCCTGGGCGCATACTTCCTGGCTTCTCTGCATCCCTTGGCACCTCACCTTGGCCAAGACTCTGGTTGGAGCTGCCCTGAGACGGGGCACATGCAGGGTCTGACTTCCAGGTCTCAGGGTGATCTTTGGCCCACACGTACACCTGGGAGCTGGTGGCAGAGTCCGAAGAGGACAAGGGGTCCTCTGAGGGCGTGGTCCCCAGGCCACAGGCCAGGTCTGAGGCATTCCACCTGAACATTTCCCCTGGGAAGAGACCCAGAGTTACCATATATACTCGAGGATGAGCCGACCCGAATATCAGCCGAGGCACCTAATTCTACCACAAAAACTGCATTTAAAATGTGCTGGGGAAACTCGGCTTATACTCAAGGATAGATGGTAGTTAACATCCAGGAGAGGGCAAGAGACAGAGGCAGAGGGGGCCCCCCCAAACCCAGAGAGTCAGTGGAGAGAGAGTCAGGGTTGTGGAGCTCCCCACACACCTCACTTTTGGTCACCGGAGCCCCTGAATTCAAGAGCAGCCTCCCTTCTCTCTCCCAGCCCCCCAGCCTGGCCCTCACCACTGCCCTCCACGCTGACCGTCCAGCCAGGCTGCCAGGCCTGCTCGGAAGTGGGGCCTGGCTGGCACAGGTAGAAGCCTCCCATCTGGTCCGAGACGTTGGAGATGAGCAGCAGGATGCCCAGGGGCCCCACCTGGATGCCCAGGCCGGGCACACCCAGGCGCAGCTCTAAGAGGGGTATGAGCTGGGAGCTCCGAGACCAGGCCAGGAGCTCCGAAGGCTTCTCGGGGGGCTCCTGGAGGCAGCTCAAAACAGCATCATCTCCCTCTGCGAGGAGAGAGAGGGAGAGAGAGAGAGGGTCCCCCTGCTCCCCTTCTCTCTGGGTACCCACGAGCTGGGAGTGACATGAGCCCTTGCAGTTCTTCCACCCTCCCTGAATCCTGAACCAGCGAGAAAATGGAGGCCCAGAGAGGGCGAGTGGCTTGGCCACGGGTCCCCTGAGTTCCGGGCCCACCCTGTACCTTTCAGACCTACCTTCTACCGTCATCAGCACATGTTTCTGGGGTCTGGCTCCCACCAGGATCAGGAAGAGGAAGACACAAAGGAGAGGAGGTAGCATGGTGGCCAGACTCCCCCAAGCACCCAGTTTCCCCCGCCCCCCTCCCGCCGCGCAGAGGATGCTGGGGCAGGCGGGGGCCTGGGGCCACTGAACCATGAGTATCCGTGGGGGCAGGTGGGCAGTCCCCCAGGGAGGTAGGGGTGGTCATGCTTCAGGCCCCCTTTTCCAAGCACCACCCCCAGACCCACAAACCTCCCCTCTTCCCCGCTACCATTTCATTTCCATCTCAGCGGGCACCACCACGTGAAACGTCTTGTTTGTGTGATTTTGGGCTTGTTCAGTTTCTGTTCCCCTACGAGAACGTGAAGCCCTTTAGAAGAGATATTGCCTCGCTCACCGATATGTGCCTGCGGCCCTGTCACATCATAGCAGGCCTCCAAGGGATACCTGCTGACCAGAGTGAATGCAGCCTTAGCGGCTCCCTGCTCCCCACTCCTCTCCACCCCGGGCTGAAGGCAATCTCCCTGCACACACACACCCTGTTCATGCCACAGCCACCTCTTGGCCTCCACCCATCTCCTTACAACTACTGTTCTGTCACACACACACACACACACACACACACACACACACACACCCGCACACACTTTGGTATTTGAACAGTGATGGGATTCAAATAACGTCACAACCATTTTGCTGCCCTCATGACCGTTTTAAGTATCTAAAACTGATATGCCAAGAAGTAGCTGATTATTTCATACAGTTAATACTTAAATAAGAACAATAAAAGAGGTACGCAAAACTCGATTGTTGTAAGAGTCTTGAAATATTAATGGGAAACAGTAAATCATACCTGACCAAAAAATAATAAAACTGTTATTTAAGATCGTTCCATGTACTTCTTGATTGGCTTTCTCGCTTGCAGTGTTCTTTGCTTTTATCCGACCTTCGTCCGCCGGCTGATTTCTCCTTCGCTCTCTTTTCACTGTGGGAGGAGGATCCCTTTCCGGTCGAGGCAGGCCAGTCAGACAATAGTCACCGTGCCTGATAGATGACAAACAGGAGACCTCTCTTCTCTGACCGCGTTATGTTCATCTTGGCAAAGCTCCTTTCTGCTTCCACTGAGCTCACAGAAATTGTTCGGACAATATTTGTAGCTCTTTGAACACTTTGGGGAACGGCATCATCCACTCATGTCTTGTGGGAACTTGGGACGTAACCCAAAGCGGAAACGACTGGCCGCGTGTCGCCCTCTGGTTGTTTGATGCTTGTTCTCTGTGTGTGACATGTTTGCTCACTGAAGTAACAAACGCAAGGGAATAAACACGTCGTATTTCATCAGAAGTGCAGCAAGGGTTATGAAAGTAATAAAGAAATGCTACAAGCATAGTTCCGCCTAATTGTTTTATACCCGTGGACGGAATGAACATCCCTACGGGCACTTAGAATATGCTGTTGCGCAAAAGAACACTGAAAGGAACGTACGTTTGTGATTTCCACATCCCACCTCAGCGAGAACCCGGATGACAAGGGCCATTTTAACAACCGGTTCGCCCAAGTCAGCCAAAAAATCAGGTATTGCTTCTGCCGAAATGGTTCGAATCAACGGAATGCCACGGCTGGATGTAAACGACCTGACTTTGAATCCCCCACTTGGCTGCTTAGTTAAATTTACAGTTTTCTTCACCTTCTAAGCCTCCATTTCCTTCTGGGTAAACTGAGGCTGATGATAGCTTTATCAAAAGGTTGTTCATAAAGATGAAACAGGACCATACGTTAGAGCCACTTTAGCCCAGCGCCCGGCATGTAGTAGGCCCTCAGTTAATGAAAAACAGCTGGCCAAGAGCTCAGGGCACGGTCCTGGGCAGGTCTCCTCCCCTGGAGACGGCGGGGATGATGACAGAGCATCTGCCCCACAGCTTGATCTCGGGAGAAAGGGGTCCACAGACATAACGTGGGCTTGGCAACAGGGTGGAGCAGGCAGGCCTCCATCAAACCGGACTAAACCCACTGCAGTCAAGCCGACGCCTGCTCATTTCCACCCTAGAGGGCCTTCTGCAGGGCCTTAGAAATGACTGCTGACCCCGCCTTACAAATCCGGCTAGACCAGAGGATGTGCACTGGCACAGACAGGGACACAGAGAATCCAGGGCGGATGATCCCTTCAGGACCAATGCTGAGAGTGGTGATACCAGGAGGGTGGAGGGAGGTTGTGGTGGAAAGGGAGACCCAATTACAGGGATCTACATATAACCTCCTCCCTGGGGGACGGACAACAGAAAAGTGGGTGAAGGGAGACGTCGGACAGGGCAAGATTTGACAAAATAATAATTTATAAATTATCAAGGGCTCATGAGGGAGGGGGGAGCGGGGAGGGAGGAGGGACAATGAGGAGCTGATGCCAAAGGCTCACGTAGAAAGCAAATGTTTTGAGAATGATGAGGGCAACGAATGTACAAATGTGCTTTGTACAATGGATGGATGTATGGATTGTGATAAGAGTCGTATGAGCCCCTAATGATTTTTTTTTTTAAAGGAAAGAAATGAATACTGACGAGTGCTCCTTCCTGAAGCAGTTCCTCTTCAGAGAGCCTTGGTGTCAGTTATGGAAAGAATCCATTTGGAAATGAGGAAATTGAGGCCCAGAAAAGACAGGGTGTTGCCCATGATCACACACTGAGCTGAGGGGGCTGTCAGTGAGCATTAGAAGGAGTTCTTCCTCCCCATTGGCCCCTTCTCTTCCTTGTCTTCTCTCTCTCTCTCTCTCTCATTGAGCATTAGAACGAGTTCTTCCTCCCCATTGGTCCCTTCTCCTCTTCCTTCTTCTTCCTTGCTCTCTCTCTCTCTCTTCCTCGCTCTCCCTTTCTTTGCCTCAGGCACTCAGGACACAAGAAATCTGCTTTCTCCCTTGCTGGTTCCCAGGCCTGCCTCACTGGGCTGTGGCTTCCTGTTTGCCCCTGAGACGCAAACCCCAGGGGACCCTCCAGATGGCAGGGCCTCCACTTCCTTTTGACGGGGCTGAGGTCGCTGAGAGAGGACAAACAGGGCTTTGGGGACTCAAGGACACCCGCTGCCTTTCATTCAAGGCACTCTCACCAGTCTGCTTCCTGGGCTTCTGCTGCAAGGGCGGTGGGGCCTTCTTTTGTAATACCTACAGTGGCTTTCCCTCAAAGCACGGCCTACAGGCCCTGCATGATGCTGCCTCCACCTGTGCTTTCTCCCTCCCCTCTCCCCACTCCGTCTGGCTCACCCCCCTGCCACTCACCCACCTCCCACCCTTCATGGCCTTTGCCCAAGTCTTCCTTCCTAGACCACCGGGCTCTTGGCTGGGCCGACTCCTTTCATCACTCAACATTCAAAGATTTGAGTGTTCAGCTCCAGTGTCACACCTTCCGAGAGACCTTCCTGACCCCCGGGTTACTTTTGCTCTCCTGCCCCCCATTGGATTTCCTTCCTAGTACCTGACCCTCGCTTGTTTATCTGTTAGTCTTCTTGGCTGCCTCCTGTATCAGAATGTTTTCTTCCGATTCACTGGCCTCTAAAACAGGCACAATAATTATTCATGGGCCAACAGGAGGAAGAAAACCAAGAAGAAGGACAGAAAGTTTCGTTTCTGGTCCCTCCTACCTATGCAATCCCCAAGACTAGTCAGTGTTCTTCTGTTTTTCAACCTCAGTATTTCTCGAATTAATTTGCTTCTCTCTGGGGACTCTTCCTTTCACAACGAGAGTTACTTCAACAGCCTCCGTCCTGGGCTCCCATCTCTTTCACTCCCCCCCTGCACATCACACGGAGAATTTCTCCTAGGTATTCCGCCTCTCCTGCTCAGCTGCTAACCGCCAGGCCAGGGGTTTAAACCCAGCAGTCTTTCCGTGGGAGAAAGACGAGGCTGACTGTTCCTGTCAAGATTTTAAATCTCGGAAACCCACAGGGGCAGCTCCACTCTCTCTGTAGGGTTGTTCTGAGCCGGGATCAATTCGATGGCAGTGTGTTGGGTGTAAGGGGTTTGGCTCAACAGCCTTCAATGGCTCGTGGGCAGGCAGGAGGCACCCCACGCCTGGCAGGTGGCTTTAATAAGCTGGGCTCTAGTCTCAGAGGGTCACAGGAAGCACTTGAATTCATCATCCAGGAGGTGACCCGGATGGATCTGCATTCTCCCAAGCTTCCCCTGGCTATGATAAGGGTGAGGGGCTGGAGGGTGGCAGCCAAGGGATCAGTCAGAAAAGTGTTCCTGCATTCATTCACTCTTCTAAGGTTACTTAGAGGCTCAGAGGGCCCAGACGGTGGTTTGAGTCCATCCTTGGAAGAAAGTCCGCTGGTCCACTTCTGAAAAACCAACCGCTGAAAAAAAAAGAAAAACTAACCACTGAAAGCCCCGGGGGAGCACAGTCCTATCCTCTGGGGAAAGGTTAGATTCACACTGAAGCCTGGTTTGTGATCCAAGTGGGTTTTTATAAAGGAGAGAAACAGTTCCAGGGTTTACAGTTAACTGAACACAGGGCCCCTCATGACACTGCACACCTACACGGGGTGGCCTGAGGCCAGAGAGAGAGAGAGAGAGAGAGACCACGGCCCAGCCGAGCAGCAGAACCTCAGCCCAGCAAGCGGCCAAGGAGCAGCTGGAAAAAGAGGGCGGTGCCCTCCAGGTTCCAGCCTTCGGGGGCCTTCTGCTGGGAGGCATGGTCCGCGGTCCTGGTTGACCCCATTAGCTGAATTAAGCCCACCTGGCCTAGTTGGGCCCACCCAGGTGTACCACCCACCTGGCTCAAGGGCCTGAATTGGTGCATGCCCTTTAGCCTGTATGACGTCCAACCTCCTGTAGGGGGCCACAAGGCCTCGAGAGGAACACCCCC